TTGTTTTTTGAAAAAGTATTTTGTGAAAACCATTCTTACCTGTGGGCTGTACAAAAATAGGTGACAGATTGGATTTGACATACAGGCTGTAGTTTGCAGATCCCTGGCTTAGATCACAATGGAAACCAATTTGATACTAGAAGTCTCAGTTAACTAATGAATAATTGATTTGGTGTGTTGCCTTCCTTCCTCCCTTCCTCCCTCCCTTCCTCCCCTCCTCCCCTTCCTCCCCTTCCTCCCCTTCCTCCCCTTCCTCCCCTTCCTCCCCTTCCTTTCTTTCCTGCTTTTCCTTCTTTTCTTTCTTGTCTCTTTCTTCCCTCTTTTGCCCAGGCTGGACTGCAGTGGCACGATCTCGGCTCACCGCAGCCTCCACCTCCCAGGTTCAGGCAATTCTTGTTCCTCAGCCTCCCGAGTAGGTGGGATTACAGGCCCGTGCCACCACGCCTGGGTAATTTTTTTGTATTTTTTTGCGGAGATGGGGTTTCATCATGTTGATCAGGCTGGTCGCAAACTCCTGACCTCAGGTGATCTGCCCGCCTTGGCCTCCCAGAGTGCTGGGATTTGTAGGTGTGAGCCAACATGCCCAGATGGTATACTGTTTTTTAATGTCTTTATATGTTGGTATTTATAAAGGTTGATAGGTCCTAATAAACATCGTGTGCAATAGGTACTTAAATATTTCTTAATGAGATGAGCTTACTCTTTTCCCCTTTCCTAATTCTTGGAGATGTCTGTCTGAGATCTGACTCTGTTTTTGGTCTTCTAATATATTTTTTAGGTCTATAAAAACGCTTTCTTAAAAATTACTTCATGACCTCATACTCTCGCGTGGCTTGCAAGGTTCCTGTATACAACTCTATAACTTAAACTGACTCAAGTCTTTGAAATTTAGAAGTGGAGGAGACTGTCTGATTCAATTTTCTCATTTTATAGATGACACAGAGACCCAGAAAATTCACATCACTTGTCTAAAATCATATAGGCCATCCGAGATGTTATTTTTAATTTACATCTGAGCTCTGGATTCCAATGAAAAAGAGAAGGAAAAGTAATTTAAGTTTGTCACTTCTAAGTTATAATTATGCTTAAGTTTTGGACTAAATTATGTTTGTAAGATAAAGTAATTTCGATTACACATTTGACTTTGGAGCGTGCAAAGGGTGTCCAGATCTCTTAAAAATGTGCTATAGGTAGGATATTTAAGAAGATAATCTTATTTCTTTCTTTCTATCCATAACTCTTTCATCGTGTTTTTTTTAGTCATTTAAATTTAAAATAATGTAATTGGGGATCACAGTTGGGCCCTGGCTTCAAGAATGGAATCAGAAAAGAATATGCTGTCTGTCATGATTGAGGGTGACGTTTAAGGTAGTATTTAATGTGTAGAAGGACTAGGAGAAGATTAAATATTTGGAGCAGTAGTTGTACAGTGAGTATATGCTGAATTCAGTTTTGTGATGCTGAAAATGCTGTACATATTCACTTCACTGAATGAGTCATAGCTGGATTGCCTCAGTAGTCCTGTGTTTTTGTAATATTTGCTGAATTATTGTCTATAAAGTTATGCAGTTAGATGATATTTCATGGTGAACATTTACAATATTAAGTGAAGTTTTGAATATAGCCACCAATTGGCTAAATATTAAGGCTAATTTTGTGTTTGCTTTTGGCTACTTTGATACAGCTGTGGTTTAAGTAGTTGATTGTCTATAAGTGATTGGAATTTTAAATAAAAGCTTTTATGAGTATACAGGCGATTTCTGAGAGGAGGAAAGTTACAAAGATCTAATTTTTGGGAGGATCTCAATTACTATTTAAGAATGAGTAAATATGATCAGGTAGAAGATACAAATAAATGCTTTATGAATTTATGAAGTGTCTATTTTGAATATCCTGTTTATTTAATAACCCATAAGCTTTTTGAGGGCAGGACTTCATTTATTCATAATATACTCTTCATCAGGCCTGATACCTGGGTGGTAAAGTATAAAGATTGGATGAGTGTCTCTGGGCTGTTTTGTGACCTAGTTTAAAGACAGTTGTTCTAAAAGATACCATAATGGAGGAATTATAGTGGTAAGTCTTCTTGTGTACCCATTGAGATCCAATTCCTAGTATCTAGTACTCATGCAGGAAGGTGAAGACTACATCACATTCTAGAGCATTCATCTGGCTATATAAATAAACCATAATGGACAAGTTCTGCAAAGCATTATTTAGTCCACTAATGAAGTAGTGGCATTTTCTCTGATTTCACTCTTTGGCACATAGGCTTTTACATTGTTCTACAAGTAGGCCTTTCAAGGTCTTTTTCCTTTAAAAAACTTACTTTTAATGGCCAGAAACTGATATAGCACTATAATCAATTAAATAATCAGTTTATAGCAGTTTAGACAGATAACTTTCCTGCTCTCATTCAGTATTTATTATGACTTAAAAATATACCAGCAGTATATATTTATTGAAATTTTTATAAGCAATAATTTATCATTTTGATTTGTATTTTTCTTTGCCCTGGAATGCATTAGGTGGTGTTGAAGCATCACTTATTACTAGTTTCAGCTGGGAAATTGATGGCCTTTGCTAATCAGAACCAGCATTGTGAAAAATCTTTGCAGGCGTCCAAGTTTTGGACTGAATGATATTAGGGGAGAAGAATACTTACTCTGTTTTCTTTGTCAGTCTATCTCACTTGGATTCCACCTAGCCCATCTCATTTTGGGAAATCCAAAAAATAAAATAGTTGCTAATTGTTACCTGTGACAAACATGTTCATGATAGATCAAATTATGATTTAATTTCTTGTAATTGTATCATGGTTGGGGTTGGATGTTTTGTTTTTAAAGTCATTCAGTTCAGCGTGCCTTCAGAATTGAGTGAGTGTCTGCTGTGTGTGTTGAGCACAATACTGCACCTTACTGGTGGTTAGGTTAAAGTTGAGCAAGGTGTCCTCCAGAGCGTTCACCATCTAGTGTACTATAGTACTTCTAGACCAGTGCCCTGGGCCAATATCCTCAAAGGAGTATTTGCCTTATCACTACATTAAGCATGTAGTAAACATTCAGGTTATATAAAATTAATTGTACTCTTTGAATTAACTTTTTTGGTGAAGAGGGTACCTTTTCTTTGGATGAAGATGTTATAGTTGTCACTCTTCCTTGGTGGTTTCCCATCTCAGTAATTGACAGTACCAGCCATTCACTTGTCCAGAGAGAAACCTTTGATTCTTTCCTTTTCCTCAACTATGCCTCAACTGTGCATCTAGTCAGTTACCATTGAGTCTACCTCCTCAATATTTTTGGAACCCCAGTGTTCCTCTGTGACAGTCCAGGAGTTAGTCTTCTCCTGGATTACTGCAGTATCTTCCTAATTTGGCTCCCTAATTCCCCTTACTCCAATCTAGCTTCTTTATAGTCTGTGCTTCTCCCTGCTCTTCCTGAAACTGTTTAATGGATTTGTTTTCTCTTAGTGCCACCTTGAAGGTCCTCCTGAATATAGTTTCTGCCTGCATTTCAAGCCTTACTCGCCTCTGTCCTCACTCAGCCCTTCCACACCTGCTGCAGCTCATGGGATGCTTCTGTTCCCTCCCTCCTTTCCCCGAGCACCCTTGTTTTCAGGCCCCTCCTTTAGTCTGAAGACCAAGGACACTTCTAGGTATATACCTAGACTGCTAACTTTAGTTAGGGCTTCTTCTGTGTGTGTCCACTAGAAAATTGTTATTGCCTCCCATTTGTCTGTCTCCCTGTGAGATACAAGCTTGATGGGTAGTACTTAGTCACCACTTTCTCCACAATTTAGAGCAGTAGCAGTTTGTCACATAGTAGCCTACTCAAATGCTTGTTAATTTGTGATTTTTTTTTTAAATCTGTTAACTACTTCATAAAGAAATCCATGATGTCATAGGACAACCGGTATACTTCCACTTTAGATATTTCTTTATACTGAATAGATGTGAATATATCATTTTTAAAGAGGAATCGGCAAACTACATTGTGGACCAAATCTAGCTCACTCTCCTTTTATAAGGATCACAAGAAGGGTCGTTACATTTTTATAAGTGCTTAGGGAAAAATAAACAAAAGAAGAAGAATACTTTATGATACAATGATATTATGAAATTCACATTTCAGTGTCCATAAGTTGAGTTTCATTGGAACACAGCCATACTCGTTTATTTACATACTGTATGTTGCTGCTTTTGTACCACACAGCAGAGTTGAGTAATTGTGACAGACTGTATGGTTGATAAAGCCTGAAATATTTATTGTCTGGCTCTTTATATAAAAGTTTCCTGACCTCTCCTTTAAATCATTTCTGTGACTTGAGAACAAATACAGATATATTTATCTATATTAAATATACTTGAGTCATGCCTCAGTTATTCCCCCACTTCATGTTCAGGATTTAAGTATGTCCAGTAAGAGAGCATCATTTGAGTTTTGGGAACTGTATTCCAGCCTATCTCATACATACCTAGAGCTTTTTGAGCCTTGAACATTACAGATGAGATGTTGAGAAAATAGAGACTTCATATCCTCCCAAGTTTCATAGACAAAACTGGAGTGGATAACTCATGGTTCTTCCCCACCCAATAGTCTTTTCCCAAGTAACTAATATTCTTTTTTAACGAAATCAGTCTTCTTGCAAATAACTAACAGTTTTTATTTTTAAAATTTACTTCTTTTTACAGTTAAGGATAAAAATTGAGCAACTTTTTATGCTACTTGATAAAATTATTAAAATATTATGCTAAAGCCCTCTTAAAAAGGTTGTTTTATTTTTGCCAGTATGTTACTTTGAAGAAAAATAGCACCAGCCATGTTTTGGTTGTATTATCATTTTACGAACTATTGGAAGTAACTTCGTCAGGGTTTATTGTTAGGCAATGTAGAACCTTCGTTTTACATCATTTAATAAAATCAAATGGTTTTTACAACATTGTTTACATCTTGTTTAAAAATATTTTACTGAGAAAATAATTAACTTTGTTTTATTTTTAGGGTTATATCCTGTGTTGTGACCTCATGGTTTAAGTGGGAATAAAGATGAGTATAAGCAGTGATGAGGTCAACTTCTTGGTATATAGATACTTGCAAGAGTCAGGTGAGTACTTTTATAAAGTAAATAGGCCTCAAATTATTTTAATATTCTCAAAATAATCTTTTATGCATTTGAAATTTGTATCAGTCCAAACCGTTGAACTTTGTATGTTTCCTTAATGTCTGGACTGCCATTTTAAAGCTATGTTTTACTGCATGGTTTAACTCTCTGACTCTTTCAAATATGTTGGAAACAAGGCAATTATTTGTAACAGTTCGGCTTTCACTGTTCAAAGACCATTTTTAAAATTTGTTATGAGGTGAGATTATTGCATATGTTTAGTAGGAACGTAAAAACTTTTAGCCACCATCAGTTTGATAATGTGTATCCAGAATCCTCAATTAAATGTTGTTGGTCCTAATTGTAGTTCGTATTTTGGAAATTCACAGTATTTTCCTAGAATGCTTTCAAAATTATTATCCGAATTGATTAAGTGTATCCTTGTTCTGAATTGTTATTATTGTAATGGGAGTAATTATAAATAGAAATCATTGAAAGCAACTAATATTAAATCAATCAGTGATCTTCCAAGTTTTATTGATAGATAGAAGGAATACTGCAAGGGAAAATGTGGGTGGGTTAAGCAAAAATTTAAAAGTAGAAGAGGGAACACGGTTGAGTATGGGTGGAGGTATAGGATGATGAGAAAGGTTAATTGCAATAGAAGTGCCGATTGCTACTAAAAAATGAAAGCATTTGGTGGTTTCAAATGTCATGGTCTAGAGATTGAATTTTAGAAATTATACTGTAAAGTTACTGTAATGTTTTAGTAAGGTGAGGTGCCCCGTAAAAAAGATAACTTTGGTAGTCGAGTGTGAGGGAGGATGGAAGGATGAAGTAGAGGTCTGAGCTTGTAGAATATTGAGCCCCCAGTTTATGGTTTTGAGACTTGAATCATTTTTCTTGTGTGACATAGTTAGTTGTCCTTTCCTATGCAAGGAATACAAACATGGCTTTCGATCTGAGAGCCTGTTGCTTGCTGAGATTTTCCCAGTTGTTCTTCGGTGCTGAGCATTTTTTTGGGGTAGAGGTTTTCTATTCCCAAGACGATCACTGCCGCTCTCTGAGGTGTAACAGCTGTGAAAGTGATGTCCAGAAGGACAGGGAGGGAAAGAGAGATTAGTATCCAAGCCCACAGAGAATAATTTATAATGAGGCTTCGAAGTTAATAGCTCTTGTTTTGTTTTCTTTGTTTAAACTGGTAGACTGGTACTGAAGGCAGATCTAAAAGACGACTTCCAAAGAATGTTTTGAATAAGATAAAATGATTAATAAAGTGAAAAAGTAGTAACTAGTGATTGTTACATATGTAACCTGTAAACAAGTTTAACAATTTCAAATACTTGTGTTTGAAAATTGTTATGTAGTACTTTCAACCAAAATGGAAAAAAGTTTTTTGGTTAGAGCAAACTCTGCTTTCTGCTTTTAGATTTGATCACCTTTTAAGCCAGAGCTTTGAGACTTTTGGACACTGGAGCAAAAACCATGTGAAGGATCAGTAGATGGGAAATATATTGTAAAGGCTTGTTGGTGTATGGTAAAGACATACAACATTTAGGTTGAACCATATAAAGTTACTGCTTTTGGAAGTTAGAAACAGTTGAATAGCTCAGCAGTACCTTGTGGTGGTGTTATTGAGAGCACTCATATTTTTCCTTTTCTAAACAAAAGTCCACAAATTGATACTTGATGTTACTGTGAGAAAACAGTAAAAAGGAGCAATAAAATAATATTCTCGTTTAATTTCTGAATAAGTAGATTAAATATTATCAAAAGTGTGTTTTTGTTTTGTTTTGTTTTGTTTTTGAGGTGGAGTTTTGCTCTTGTTGCTCAGGCACCTCCTGGGTTCAAGCGATTCTCCTGCCTCAGCCTCCCGAGTAGCTGGGATTCCAGGCATGCACCACCACACCTGGCTAATTTTGTATTTTTAGTAGACACGGAGTTTCTCCGTGTTGGTCAGGCTGATCCCAAACTCCCGACCTCAGGTGATCTGCCAGCCTCGGCCTCACACAGTGCTGGGATTACAGGCGTGAGCCACAACACCTGGCCCAAAAGTCTTCTTCAACTTGCTTTTCTTCTTAGAGAAAAAACCCTTCTAAATTCCATATTTTAAGGTGTTTCATGTTGAAATAAACATAAAGCAAAAATTTAAAAAAATTTGTATGGTAGACTGATATATCAAGTTCTCCATGGTTGTTTAGTATGTTCTTAGGTGTGCTTTGTATATTCTTTACAAAGTTTTAGACTTTACAGTGTAGTGGCGATGCTAAATCACATTTCTAAAAATGTGAACACCAGTCCCTCGGTAAAAATTGTAACTTCGTATTTACATTATGATTTATAGGGAAAAATCAGACTCAACTGATGACATTTTGACTTATGGCAGTTTTCTCGGTACTGCAACTTGCCGTAAATTTAAGAACTGCTTATGTAAGAGTTCTGAAGTTTGATCCTCTGACTACCTGCATCAGAGTCACACTGAGTGGGGCCTGGGAATCTGCATTTTACAAATGCCCCAGGTGATTCTTTTGGCTTAATAAAGTTTGAAAGCCACTAGTCTATATTAGTTGTAGGACAATTAGAACTTGACAAGAAAATTGACAACAGGTATTTAGCATATTCACAATATCGTGACAGAAAAATTATGCTGAGTATTCAAGATAAAGTAGAAAGCATGGAGTGTACACCTGCTGCAGTCTGGGCTATGAGAAGATATCCTAAAGAGGGGGCTGCCACCCAAAGTGTTTATTTGTGTTTGTGGGTCAGGTGGAATCATGAGGTAGCAGAAATAATGAGGCATTTTTATGTCTTAAAGGATGCCATGAGATACTTATTTGAAATTGCATCCAGAAATAGGATATGGAAGAGAGTTTGAGAATGTTCTAGTTCTGTGAACTCAGCACAGGGTTCAGACAGAACCCAGAATCTCACCCATAACAAATGCTCATAGTAGCTTTAGATCTGGGCACTTGCCACTTACTCCGAAAGCTTTTTCTTGGTTCTGATCTCCAATTATACTAAAATATGACTATTTTTGCAATAGATCCTAATTCAGAATCATCAAGTACAGTAATGTCTTCTCTGGGTTGTTTTGGGGATTCGTCATATTTGTCACCACAACCTACAAATGATATACTTATTGAGAATTAGTCATTCAATATCTAAGAAATATGATATAAATTACTCTTAGGTTATAACTATGTTTCTTGAAAGATCTAAAGTAATACTGAACAAACTGGAATCTTTATACTGCTGCTTTCCCTGCAGTAGAGCACTGAATTGGATTAGGAGATAGCAGAAAAGGAACATCGTGGCAAAGGAAGGATTTGTGCAGAGACATTCAAAGGACTGGTTTGTGAAGACTTCCAAAAAGGAAAAATAAAATTTCCCCCTGGCCTGTCTTATTATCTAAAGACTGTCCAAAAACACGTTGTGAAAGTTTTTATGTTTTGATAAATACGTGGTTTAGTAATACTGTTTTTCTATAAGAACTTTTAACATTTGTTCTCTGCATATTGTTCAGTGTTGACTGTGGTATCTATCTCCAGAGGGAAAATCACTTAAATTGTTTTAAATGTTTTTTACTGTTGTCAGTACTAGAAGATAGTATCTGTTGAAAGTTTCCCTCCTCCTCCAAAATTACATAAATTCTCAGATTCATTTTTTTTCACTTACAAAATATGTTGCTGTGGAGAAGGGATTTACATTGTGATATTCAGCCTCAAATATTTGATGGACTTCTCTGTTTTAAATAAGCCATCCTTCGGACTCATCAAAACTAAAGAAAAATATATTTATTGTAGGGTTTTTATTAACTATTGTAACTTTTTATTTTTTGCAATTTTATCACTAGAAAGTTCATCCTATGCAAATTTCTTTGGTCCTCACCATTCTGCCTGTTTATGAAGTAGACTTCCCTATTCAACAAATATTTCCTAGGGAATAAAATGATTTTTTTCTTTTTAGAAATGACTTGAATATTGAGCATATTTGATATAGTACTGTAAGTAATGATTAACTTGATTCAAAAGTATTGTTCCTTTAATTAGTGTTTGCCCAAGGGCATTAATTTCATTGCCCTAATAACTTATCTAGCAACCATATGCAGATAAATACTTAGTGGTACATGCTAAGTTGCATAAAGTAGAACCTGATACAGTGTTAATTTTAGAGGCACTAAGGTGGTTTGGACCTTTTAATCTCTCCCCCACCTTTTGCGTCACCATCGACTCCTGTGGTTATTTGCAGTTGTGGTTTATTTTTTTTCCTGAAGAAATAGTTTCTGGCAATTATTTTTGGACTTTCTGACACCTGTTTTTCTTACAAGAAAACCTCTTTTCTATAAGAAGATGTCATTTTATCTTGCTTCAGTTGTATATTTGCTTTAGGGAAAGAATTATTGATACTAGATTTAACTATTACATGTCTAAGAGCTCTATAACTTCTCCATTTATATTGTACTTGACTGTTGGAAGCTATGAAACAGTCACATCTTATAATTGAAAGACTAACTGGAATTGCAAAATCAAAATGTCCTTATTGCTAAAATGAGTAACTTTCTAGATAGTGATTCTGAATATTATTACTTTTAAAAAATTTATTTAAAAAATAACTGATGTTGCATACTGTCTCCATTTATAGGAAAGATGATATATAAGAAGGAAATATATACAATCTGTATTAAGGGTTCTCTAGAGGGACAGAACTAATAGGATATGTGTATATATGAAAGGAAGTTCATCAAGGAGAATTGACTCACACAATCACACGGTAAAGTCCCACATAGGCCGTCTGCAAGTTGAGGGGCATGGAGGCCAGTGGTGGATCAGTCTGAGTCCCAAAACCTCAAAAGGAGGGAAGCCGACAGTGCAGCCTTTCATCTGTGGCCAAAGGCCCGAGAACCCCTGGTAAACCACTGGTGTAAGTCCAAGAGTCCAAAAGCTGAAGAACTTGGAATCTGATGTTCGAGGTCAGGAAGCATCCAGCACAAGAGAAAGATGAAG